TTGACCTCTTTTTTGCCGCTCTGTTATTCTTTTCCGTCGCCTGTAAAGAGAGCGCCTGTCTCTTTCTATTTACATCTACTCCTCCTTTTCTTAGAGGAATAAGTCTTGGCATAACATCGAGTGCCACCAAGTTAATCTGTTCTAGGCATAAGTTGGGGTCTGTGTTGCTTAGTTATATCTTCCCGCTTATATCGGTTAGGACTTGGTTTACTTGGTCCCTTTTATGTTTTTGTTATTGAAGTTAAATTTTGGTGAAGCTCCCTCGTGACAAAATCTCTTTTTGTCGGTCTGGGGCTCTGCGCATACATGTCTGAACCTCAATTATGTTGTGATCTGAGTATATTGTTTTTGATTGGTGACATTTTTTATCAGATCATCATTGTTAGTGAAGATGAGGTCTAGTGAAATTCTCCAGTCTAGTAGGCTCTATTATTTGCTGGTTTAAATTAAATTTTTTGTGCAGAGATTTAAAAGCTCGTGTGAGTGTGAGTTTTCATCAGAGCTGCCCCCTGGTGTTATTACTGCAACATATTATTTGCTATATTCCTCCATTTTAGGGGGCCTTAAGTTGAAATCCCCCAGGAGCAAGATTTTTGGGTGCAGGAGCTGGAAGATTTTCCAGACAGTGGTCAATTTTTAACAGCTGTTCCGGGAAAATTGCTGGGATGTTGCATCCGGAGGCTTGTAGACTACCACAATGACTAGGTTTTGGTTCTCAAACCTTTAACTGCTAAAAACTTCCACTACATCATTTGAGGCATTAAGCATTTTCTGTGCAAACAAGTGACTCTGCATTGTACAGGCCAACCCCCCCTTTTGCCTGTTCACTCTGTCACATCTGTATAGGTTGTAACTGGGATCCATATTTCGTTGTCTAAGTGATCCTTTATGTGGGTCTCAGTGAAAGCCGCGAACATTGCCTTTGCCTCTGCAAGCAGTCCACGGATAAAGGTATTTTGTTGTTTGTTGCTGGCTTTAGACCCTGTATATTTGCAAAGAAGAATGTAAATCGGACTGGTGGTATTGTTGGTACTGGGGTAATATGAGAATGACATAGCAATGAAAGCCAGATCTGATTCGAAGCTGCTGTACAGCTACATCGGGAGGAAAACAACAGTTAGGACCAGGTAACTGGCTGAGGAAAGAAGAAAGGGAGATCACAAGAAACGTCAAGAAGTAAGAAGCTCAACACGAGATTTAGGTATTTTCAGTGGAGACAAAGGTTTTCAGTAAACCAGGATGGCAGGGTACACCAAGTGCTGGACACACTACACACAAACCGAGGAAGAGGTGGAGAGACTACTAAGTGAACTAGATACACAAGGTAGTGCAACCTGATAAAAATATCTCCATGGGTCCTGAGAGAGGGAGCACAGGCACTTTGCATGCCACTAACAATTTTTCAACACATCTATCTTAATGGGGCAACTTTCCTGAGGTGTGGAAGACAGCAAATGTAGTCCCAGTTTTTTAAGAAAGGAGACAGACAGCAGCATTAAACTTCAGACCAGTGTCCTGACACACATAGTATGCAAAGTCATGGAGAAATTATCAGGAGAAGAGTGGTTTAAAAAGCTAGAAGAAATGAGCTTATTCACGATAACCAGCACGGTTTCAGGGAGGGAAAATCTTGTGTCAAAAATCTACTGGAGTTTTACCACAAGGTAACAGAAGTAAGACAGGGGAGAGAGAGAGAGGGGAGGGTAGACTGCATCTTCTTGAACTGTAAAAAGACTTTTGACGCGTTCCGTACAAGAGATTAGTGCCCAAAAGTAGAGGAGAAGGTAGGAATAAAAATGAAAGCACTGCAACAGATCAGGGAATACCTGACAGGAAGGAAACAACAAGTGATGGGTCTGTGACGAGGGGTCAGAGTGGGCGCATGTAACGAGTGGGGTTCCACAAAGTCAGTCCTAGGGCCAATGTTATTTCTGGTATTGCTTTAATGACAAGACGGAAGGGATAGATTCAGAGGTGTCCCTGTTTACAGATGATGTGAAGCGAAAACGAAGAATTCAAACAGACGAGGATCAGGCAGGACTACAAAGGGATCTGGACAAGCTGCAAGCCTGGTCCATCAACTGGCTCCTGGAGTTTAATCCCACCACGTGCAAAGTTTATAAAAATTGGGGAAGGTCAGACAAGACCGCAGAAAGGGAATACACGCTAGGGGGATGAAGGCTGCAAACCTCACTCAAGGAATAGGAGTACGTCAGGTCCATATTGAAGTATAAAACACAAGTATGGAGCCCACACCTGGTCAGGCACGTTAAGAAATTACCGAGGTTTTCAACAAGACTAGTCCCGGAGTTTAAGGGTTATGTCCTACGAGAAAAGATTAAAGGAAATCAACCTGATGACATTGGAGAACCGAAAGGATAGGGAAACATGATAACGACATATAAAATACTGAAAGGAACTGACAAGGTGGATGGTGACAATGTTTCAGAGATGGGTCACAGCAACAAGGGGTCACAACTGGAAGTTGAAAACTCAAGTGAGTCACAGAGATGTTAGAAAGTATTTCTTCAGTTACAGAGCTGTCAGGAAGTGGAACACTCTGGAGAGTGATGTAGTGGAGGCAGGATCCATACATAGCTCAAGAAGAGGTACGATAAAAACTCTTGGAGCAGGGAATGAACCGAGTAAAGACCAGCGAGAATGCGGGGCCGGGAGCTACAATCAACCCTTGCAACCACAAATAGGTGAGTATGCACCCACACACACATCTGGGAGTTTATATCACTAGTTGATGTATACGTTGCTAAATATAAATTTTGCCAGAGGTGCTAGTCCCACAGAACAAATTGTTATAACTATGACCATAATTTTTAAAGGGGTGGATCGGTAAGCCAGCGTAAGGCCACGGTCAGATGACCAAAACTCCAATGGCGGGTCATCATATGACTAAGACCCGCGTCAGGAAACTTGTTTCCTGAAAAACCTACCTAACCTAACTAGTCCAATTTGTTAGTGGATTAAATAGGTCCGCCCCTTTAAGTTTTGGTTTGGAAAAGTATAAATAAAATAACCAGGAAAAAGACTAGTAATGTTGCTCATCCCTTCCCCTTCATTTGCATTAAGTTTTGTAACCTGCATGAACTGTATCACTGTAGGCAACAAGAGCATTTCACCCCTCCATGGAAGATGTGTTTATTTAGTATCAGATACCTGCAAGTCCCTCCCAAGAAGCTCATTGTTAGTAATCCCTTCCTTAAATCACTTGTTAAACTAACTGCTCAAGAAGAAATTTCTCGCCTAGCTGGTAGTAATAAGTTATGACAAGTTATATACACTGATGGATCTAAACAGGAGTCTTCTGGCAGGGCTGCATCTGCTCTTGTTGTCACCTCCCTAGTTAAGAACGATAATAAATTTGTTGATTTAAAGGCATAAGAATTAACAACTGGGCATCTACATTGTAAACTGAATTGTTTGCAATCCTAATGGCGCTAAAGCTAACTTATGACACTGAGCTTAACTCTATCATCATTACTGATTCTGTCATCATTGAAGGCTCTTGACTCATATAATGTCTCCAACAACATGTTCATTGGAGAAGCCAGGTATGGATACTCAAAAATCAGGGGCAAAGGGATTAAATGTACAATTGCTATGGATCCCATCACACATTGGATTACTCCTTCAGATAAAGTTGACATGTTAATCAAGAAGAGTACCCAGAAGGGAGAATGTAGAATATAACTTTGGTATATCTGTAGAAACATTGGACGTGTTTCTTTCCACCTGTTGTCTATGTTCCCACATCAGTAAAATGGGTACCTGGTGTTAGTCGACTGGTGTGGGTCGCATCTGGGACACTGACCTAATTTGCCCGAAATGCAGAGCATAACAAGGGAGTTTCTATATAGTAGTATGTCATCGTTGTCAGCTAGGACTGTATACCTTGTACATGTACTTGTAGTAAATAAAGATATTATTATTATTATTATTATTATTATTATTATTATTATTATTATTATTATTATTATTATTATTATTATTGTTATAGAATTAGGAATAATATTAGGAGAGAAGTAAATAACGAAAATGACTGTTATAGGAATGCAGTTAAAGCCTGAGTAGATCTATAACCCACTATGATTACATGGAGGTAGATAAGTATGTTTATGGAGCAACTTGCAATGTGAACAGACTGACTAATGTTGTAGTGGCCAGGCTTAGGCTTGGTTACTAGTACTTCTGGCAGTTTGGGAGAACACAGATGATGATCATATTTAATGCAAATTATGTGATCAGGGATATGGTCACTGTCTTGAACACTATGTGCTTAATTGTCCACTTATTGAGGATTACAGAGATAGACAGTATAATGGCTTATGTGACATGTCAAGATATCTTATCAATGAAAATAAGATACCAGATATACTAAAAAAATTTCCTAAATTTGATTGTAACAGATAAGTGAACTGTAGATATGTATATATATACACCCATATGTGCACCTGTTAACCCTTTTGGGGCCTTTAGTTCCTAGGTCTTTTGTGTATCAATATGCTCTTGCGCTACCGTCCACAGGATGGATAAGGGATGCAAAAATTATTATTATTGTAATCAAAAAAAGCGCTAAGCCATTGGGGTGCACAATAAAACTAGCCACTTGGGTGGCAAAATCTCTAATCCCACACTACATTGTTATTTGCATGAATGAGAAAAAATCATGAATTCAGATACAACTCACAACCGGCGAGTAGTATATAAAATCATTGTATGATCATTCATAACACGATCGCCTCTTTTGTGAACTTGTCTGTACAAGTGTTTCTGCGGTACAGTGACCAGATGACGCATTTCAAAAAGGCAGATATTGGACGTACTTTAGTACGTATTTGTGTTTTTTTTAATATACAGATTATCTTAGTTCATTACTAACAAGTTCATAATAAAAGTATTATTTTAAAAATAGTACTACAATAAAAAATATTAAATAATTTACTATTAGTGGTTCATTTGACCAGGCGCAGTTTGTTTATAAACATTCCATGGAGACTGATGTTGTTGTGATGGTGGTACTCACCTAATTGTGGTTGCAGGGTCAAGACTCAGCTCCTGGCCCCTGTGTTATTGCTAAATTGGCCTAATTTGCCCGAAATGTTCAGCATAACAAGGGGCTTTCTATACAGTAGTATGTCATTGATGTCAGCTAGGACTGTATACCTTGTACATGTACTTGTAGAAATAAAGATATTATTATTATTTTTATTAAGGTGGTGCGTGGCCTAGTAGGCAGCGCTCTTGCTTCACATTGAACGTCCGTAGTTCGATTGCAGGTACATGTGGAAACATTGGGCGTTTCCTTCCACCTGCTGTCCCCATTCACCTATCTCAGCTGGGTGGTGGGTGGCTTCCTGGGGCACAATATTGAAGGACCCCAATGGAAATGAGACAGACAGTCCTCGATGACGCACTGACTTTCTTGGGTTATCCTGGGTGGCTAACCTTCTGGGGTTAAAATTGAATACCCTATCTTATCTTACCTTATCTTACTATGATGATGGTGCTGCTGTGCTAATGTTGCTGTTATGATGGTGTGTTTAAACCCGCCTTCAAGTTCTCACTACCTCCTCCACTTCCCTGGGATGTACACCTGGAGTGAGTTCTCGTTTTTGGGCTGTATGACCCTTGTAGGTTTAATGCTTTTTGATTATAATAATAATTTAGTTCTTGGATGTCTCGCTCTGCAGTGAGGATCCCCTCCTGAGGTGATCCTTGATACTGTGTTCCTTGATGTGTGTTTCAATTCCTTGAATCAACTCTGGATACCGTCCATCCCCCTGGGTGCTCCCCCATGATTCTGATAATACAGTCATCACACAGAAATCACTCCCTACGAAAGTAAAAGACTGGGCAGGCGATGCAAAATGCCGCCAATAAAAAGTAGGGGCGCCATTGGTACACTAAAAGAAAACACCATAAGTGTCCGGGGCCCAAAACTGTTCAACAGCCTCCCATCAAGCATTAGGGGAATTGCCAATAAACCCCCCGGGCTGCCTTCAAGAGAGAGCTGGACAGAACCAAAAGTCGGTGCCGGATCAGCCGGGCTGGGGCCGTTTGGACGGGCGTGGGGCCAGCAGTAACAGCCAGTTGTCGGGCCCTGACCCCTGGGGACCCCCTGGTCATGGCCGGGCTGCGGGGGCTTTGATCCCCGGGAATAACCTCCAGGAAACCCTCCAGGAATCAGTGGCAGAATTTTCCGTCAGTAACGGACCCTCCAAGGAGGGACTTCGATGTTAGAAAGGGGGGCTGTTGTTCGGGAATAGATGTTTTTGTTTAAACCAATTCCCTGCAATTTTCCTATATTCCTATGACCCTTACGGGTTTAAATATTTCCCCCTAATTAAATAATATTTTTTTTTTTTAGACAAACAGGAAAATTTTTGTTGGTTTAAACCCCGGGGAGGGTACCCACCCAGGAAAACCAGAAAGGCTGTGTCATCGATGACTGTCTTATTTCCTTTTGTTTTTCTTCGTTTGCCCCAGGATGCCACTCAACCAGTCAACACCCAGGTCCTATTTGCTTTTTGGGGGGAAAACAGAACAGGGGGTGTAAGGAAAATATTATTTTTCCACTCGCTTGGATTAAAACCAAACACTCGTGGAGGTGAGAGCTTTGAAAAGTTCAATTTTAAATTTTATTTCTCAAAACTAGGGACTTGTACACTAAGCCTTTCCCCAAAAAATGTTTCATTTCTTCTTATTATATGTTACAAAACTTTCCAAAAGAGACTTTTCCAGAGCCCCCCCGGCTTGAGTTAACTTTTAACCCAAAATCATAAATGCCAGTAATCATATTAGTAAGCCATTCAGATACAAAAATAAACTTGCCAAATTTGATTGATACAAGATATTTCTCAAACCCCCTGCCAATTTTTGTGGTAGATTAGTGCACTATGCTGTGCCTCAGGTACAGTTTTTTTTGTGATATTTCTCTCTTTTTATGATTTTAGATAATTTCTCTACTTAATGGTAAACAATCTTTTAATTGAATTCCCCTTTACAGGGGAAATTTTGTTTGAGTTTTTAAATAAATATTTTAAATAGTTTTGACTTGCAAGCCATTGGCCCAAAAATGGCAACCTTTTCATGAGAGGAATTGTTTTAACTTTTGTTTGATGAAAGTGATATATTTTTTTTTTTTATTTATTTATGCTTTGCGAAGTACATTGAAATTTTGTATTTAAAATAAGGGTTTTCAATGCAAAGAGACCCTATTATGCCTGGGCATTAGGGGGCCCAGCTTAAAAAAAAAAGGCTTACAGACTACTTACACTAAAAATTATCATAGTTGTACATTTAAATTTAATTATAATCTGTTTGTACATAGATTTTTAATTATAAGTAAATCAATTTTTATAAGACAAAAGATAATTCATATTTCAAAAATGCTTTTTTGGGGAAAAAAAGGATTCAAATTTTATCCTGTCAACAATGGATAAAAGGTTTAAAATAATTGTTGAAATTATGATGTGGGAATACATAATGAGTAGTGGTACGATTATTTAGCATTTAGTCCCGGGGGATTAATTGGGGTTTTGAAGAGTCTTAAATTGATTTTCAGACAGGGTTACTTTATATCTTCTGTAATGAATTCCATATTTTGGGGCCCTTTATGGCATAGAGTTTTTTTCACAGTGAATATGGACACGAGGGAAACAAAAAGAATCGGTCTTGTTTAGGTCATTTCTGTAAGGGTTTTGAGGAAAGTTTGAGTGGAGGGTTTAATTTGGGTTTTGTTTTTTGTAGTATAGGGCCCTGAATAAGTAGGATGTTCTTAATGGTGAGCAGATTCAGACTTTTGAAAATTTGGGGGATAGCTGGGGAGTGGGAAATTTTTTATTTGAAATGCTGCCTTTTGCTGGGTTATTAGGTCTTAGGTGATTGAATGTTGTTGATCCCCATGCAAAATTCCAAGGAGAAAGGGTTTTTGATGAATGGGACAGTGCCAGGAGAGGTGATTGTGGAATGTATACCTTATCTATGATATATGCTTACAGTCTTAGATTTCTTGGGGATTTGTTGTTTTTGTGTTGGAAAATTAAGGCTACTGTCCAAGGGGATACCTAGGAAAATTTTTCCCCCTTTTGGGGTCTTGTGACTTTGGGGATCCATTTAGGTTTGTTAATCAATCATTTGCAGCTTTGTTTCCCAAAATTTAAGAAATAGGCTTTTATTCATATTCGGGGAAGTTTATTAGTCATCAACCAGGCAGATATTTTTCCCCAATTTGGGATTTACAGTGTTTGCTGTATGATGGATTTGGGTGGGAGAAGATGTTGTAGTGTCACACAAATAATATGATTTGAGTAGCTGTGATCATTCCAGTCATTGAGAAGAAAAAAGAGGAGTGGGCCAAGGACACTTCCTTGTGGGACTCCTACTGTGTTGGTTGGGTGGAAGAGTTTGCACCATTGCATACACATATTGAGTTTGTTATAAGGTAGACTTTTGGTAGTTGAGGGAGTGGGCCTCTGATACCATAGTGTGTTAATTTGGGGTAAAAGGGTTTTGGGTTGGCTGTATCAAAAGCTTTAAAATCAATGAAAATGCCCAGAAGGACTTTTTTCTTTTCGAGTGCGGGATATATTAGTTCTGGCATGGGTATGATAGCATCATTTGTGCTTTTATTATTCCTGAATCCAAACTGACAAGGGTTTAATATGTTGTGTGAGACGTGGTAGGAATAGATCCGTCTATGAACTAATTTTTCAAAGATTTTAGAGAACAATGGTAAGTTAGATATTGGTCTATAGTTATTCAAGTCAGCTTGGTCACCTCCTTTATGGATCGGAGTGACCCTCACTATTTTGAGGATTGTTGGGAAGGTAGATGATTCAATGGATTTGTTAAAGTGTTGCAATAATTGGTGACAATACTTGAGAAGCTTTTTTGTACATAAAAGCAGGCAAGTTGTTTATGTCTCCTGCTTGTTTTTAAGGGTGTTGATGATGAGCGAGACTTCTAGTGGGTTGGTTGGAGCTAGGAGCAGCATATTTGGGTAGGTACCTATGAGGTATTTTGATGGACAAGTGTTTGAGCTTGGTATTTTTTTAGCTAGATTTTTTCCTATGGTGGAGAAGAAAACATTGAGCCTGTTTGCTGTTTCAGTTGGTGTGAGTAGGGGTTCGTCTGATTTTGTTAGTTTGATTGTTTTGTTTTGGATAACTTTTTAGTTCCAAGAATTTCAGATAGAGTTGTTAAGGTTTTTTCATATCACCTTTGATGTTATGTAATCTATTTTCATAATACAATTTTTTAGATCTTATCAGGCTGGTAAGAGCTGATGAGTAATGTTTAGACTCTAGTTATTAGACCCATTCTATACTGTTTTTCATATTTGTGCTTTGTGTTAATGGATTTGAGGATGCTGGGAGTTACCCAGGGACTATTCAGTCTCTTTGCTGTGATCTGTTTAGTTTTTTGGGGGCAATGTTTGTTGTAGAGGCATTGGGTTTTTTTAGAAAATTATTTATACATTCATTCATATCTGTATATGTTTCGAGTTCATTTTGCCAATCAATGTTATTCATAGCTGCTATAAAGTTGTCAACAGCTGTCTCATTATGTAGTCTGAAGGTTACTTTAGTAATGTCTTGTGGCAATTTACCCAGATTAGTTATGAGAAAGGTTGGGTAGTGGTCTGTATTGTTGTCTGTGATTATGCCTGATTTTAAAGGGGAATGGTGTTTGCCCCAGATGGGGTTTTTTTTTTCCCTTTGGGGTAACAGGCCCCTCGAAAACTCCTTCTAGGGTGGCCAAAATTTAAAAAAAAAAAAAAGTTTTTTTTTTCTTATAAAAAAAGTTTTTTTTTCAAAAACTTTAAAGGGCAAAACAAAAAAATTTTATCTCAAACTTCCGAGTTTGGGGCTGAAGTTTCCCAAAAATTGAAAACATCGGGTAAATCGAAAAACTGCCGCCCCCCGGGTTTTTTTCTTTACTTTTTTATGTATTTTTTCAATTATTTTTTAAATTTTTTTTTTTTCTGAGTAATTTATGGCCTTGAGCCAACTGATCTTTTTTTTGAAAAGTTATTTCTTTTTAAATACTACACAATAAGGGCATAAAACTGTTGCTTATTTTGTTTATAGAAAATATTTACACAAAAAAACGATAGAAATGTTGTTTATT